TCGACTAAAAAATTTAACGGTCGCCGGCGCGAAATCTCAGCTCAGTCGCCGCCTGCGTAATCCGATTTGTACCCCGTCTTTTCATCACCGGGCGACAACAAATGCGATTTTGAAACAATCAGTCGCCGGACAGAACTAATCCCGATCGAAGATGAGCCTTGCCGTGATGAAAACGAGATTACCAGCGACGTCTTGGCCGGAAACAATACATCCGGGATGTTCACCTGTGGCAGAGAAAGTGGCTGAAGTGGATGCAATGTTGGGATGGCGTGGGGGCTTTAGTTTGAAAATGTGATAAGTTATAAGAACCTAACTCCAATTTTAAGATTTTTATTATATCAATTTAATCTATGGGTAAAATATAATTATTATACAAATGTATATAATAAATGAATAAATAAAAATATTAAGAAAATACAAAATATAAAATAATAAATAAAAATATTGAAATAAAAAATATTTATTTTATTAAATAAATAATAAGTTATTTCGACAATTTTGTTGGTACGGTTAACCAATCGAATTGATTATTTTTGTTCCGATTTTAGTTTATACAAAGCATATAAAAAAACACACTACATAATGCACTATAGTATTAAACAAAATGCACATTATTAACTATCTGATTGCACGATAATGTTCATTGAAATATATTACTAAGTTGTCAAAAATTGAAATGGACAAATAAAAATATTCATACTACAAACAACACACTAAACTAAGTCACATTAATATTAATGGAGATGCACATGTTGATTTTGTATTTAGATTATATATTTTTAAACAAAAAAAAAATAAAATATTAAATATAACGATTAAAATTCTAAATATATTTTTATAATATAAATAAAAAATTAATTGATTATTTAAATAATTCAGGTAATTGACCGAATAAACATAGTAATTCAATTCAGTTTCAACTTGATTTGGAAAAAAATTGTTTATTATTACTATTAATATTATGTACTGTGATTGCACAATATTGTTGGACGAGTTGCACCTTAATGACCATTTGATTGCACAATTACGACCGAAACTATGCACATTACAGCTAGACGAATTGCACGTTAAAAATCAATTGTTCAAATTGTTTTTTCAATATTTTGAGTTGCTTGTATTGGTTTTAAAAATGATCGATCGATGTACAATATTATTCATCCCGAAATTTATTTGAACGTTTAAACTTTAATGAGCATATATACTCACTATATTGTGCATTATAATTGACATTAATGTACAACTATTTTTTTTAAATAAAAAATAAAATATACTTGTACATTCAATTATAATAAATTGAAATTCCTAAAATTTTGAAAATTTCAACTATACGTCAATATTATTATTCAAAAAATGGCTGAAATAAGCGAACCGACCGAACAATAAGCGGTGACAAATATGTAATTTTATTAAATTACATAATTTTTTATGTGCAAATTACTGTACATTATTGTGCATTTGTCATATCATTAATGTGCACTTAAACTTTTAATAAATAATAATAATGCCTCACAAATTAAAATGCAATAAATTAAGTTTTTAAAATTGCATCATAGTCTCTTGAACTTGTCTAATTTTCAGAACTCAACCCCTCACAACAACATCATATTCTCGTCACTCTAGACATTGTCACTCTCAGCCCATTGACCTCTGCCACCCGCCCGTCGTCCGACACCAGCCGCCATCTGCCATACCGTCGGGCGATAAGGTTCCCGTCGCAAACATCATCTCGACTCTGCCAGCAAACATCAGCTTGACCCTGCATCGCCGAAAACATCTCCTGCACCTCGGTTATATGCGATGACCGCGACTCTGCACAACTGGGAATAATACGGCCGGATCTCTCCAAGGATGACCGGATCTATGCCGACGCGGTGGTCGTCGGTGGTGACCATGACACATCGGCTCATGGAGGTTGTGTTTGTAATCGGAGATTGTGTGTGCTTGGGGGATGGGCTATGGCGGCGGTCCGTGACCGACTGAGCTTGTGGCAGCGTCAGACCGTGCCGGAGGTGGAGCAGGATGCTGATGGTGACTCGGCTCGTGTAGGCGGCGGAGCAGGGTCCTGATGGTTGCTGGGTTCGTGACGGCGGTGACTTCTATGAGATGAGATGCAGAGACAACGTCGTAGATGGCGGCGACGCGCAGAGACGGCGACGACGGGCAGCGTCGGGCAGTGTGTGCTGAGATTTGGTGAGGAAGGTAAAGGGGTGGGGTCATGGGTGTGGAAGTGTGTTTATTGTGTTTTTGTGCTTATTTTCGTGCGTTTTATGTGTTTTATTTTAGTGTTTTTAGGTTTGTTTTAGTGTCGACCGGTCCATTTTATCGTGTTTTGTGTATTTTTGTTATTGTATAGTGTTTTCGTATTTTTGCGCGTTTGTCTTTTGTTTTAGTGTTGAATAGGTCCAACTTGGCGAGAACGAGGAGACGAGCCGTCTGAGCCGTCCAACCGGAAAATCCCGCCCAAGCTATACCGAGAAGAAGAGAATTCAATTAGGAGAATATGGGTCTAAGTTTCGTGCGAATTGGAGTTGTGTGCGAGAAGTTAGAGCAAATCGAGCATCAAGAGGTCATGGGACCATTTCGAGCCCGCGAAAATGAAGCCCTATCCCGCGAAAATGCCCTAAGCTGCGAGTTTCATCATCTAAGCTGCGAGTTTGGTGTATCAAGCTGCGAAAATCAAGGACCTATCCTGCGAATTCGACCTATCCTGCGAGTTTTCATCATTTAATGTGTGTGTTTTAGTGTGTGTTTGTGGTATAGTTATAAAAAGACATTATGCTTTGTATTTTTGGTAACAACCCTCATTTTCTCAACTTTTAAGTTGGGAATTCATCTCTATTTTCTCTTTTTCCTTTTTTATATTTTGGTTTGGAGCTTTATGAATCAAGTTTTCAGGCGAACTTCTGGTGACATTGTTTTGAGCAAAGTTTCAAGCTTTTGATTCTGTTTCTTCTCCCGAGTACATGTTGGAGTGGGTAACTTAGTCTTAAGCCCCATTACCTCGTATATCTTTCTTGCTTTGGTAAATTGATATTGTGCTTGAGATTTTGGAAGAAAAGATTGTTGCTTTGGATCATGAATGTTTGACTAAATGTGATAGGAGTTGAATTCTTGCTCGATTCATGCTAGAGTTTGATTTGACTTCCTAGGGTTTTTAGTGAACATGGCAATGGTTGGATTTTTGCGTGCTTTTGATCATGATGACTTCGGTAAACCAAAATCTCTCTTTCCCCCTTGATTTCTCTAATCTTTTTGCGTCCTTTACTTGCTTTCGATTTCAATTTCGTAGATTAGCTTAGCTTAAATCAACCCTCAATTCAAGCGATTAGCATGTTTAGGACGTTTTTGGTTGCGTGACTTTGACGACTAGGTAGTGAACGAAGCTCCGAAGAGCCTTCCTTTGAGAACGAACCGAGTCGGGTAACTCGGTTACCACATGCCCAAATTTATACTCAACAAAATGGCGCCGTTGCCGGGGACACGACTCATTGCTCGATTTTTCTTACTCTTGGCATCGAGATCATCGTTTTACGAGGTGACCTACTCGTGCCATATGTATTTGAATTGGGCGTGACTTTATTGAGTTGGAGGTGATATATACTAAGTGTGGGGGAGGTGTTTCGGGGGCTCGTGAGTATATATTGATCATTTGGAGGATTTTGGCTAGTGTCTTTCGGTGTAAGGCTCGTTTGGAGTTATTGTTGATTGTTTTAGGGGAAATGCGGTGCACTTTGGCGTTTGATTTGAATTTCACTATACCATTGGTGTCGGTTGTGCATGAGTTATGCTTTGATTGAAAAGTTGGTCGGGT